CTCGTAACCCTTCGGCTGATAAATTGAGATGTGGGTTAATGAGTTTGATGGCCTCAAGCTCTCAAGCTAAGGAGAACACATGTTCTGCTGCAGACATGCTCACTTGCACCTGGAAATATTCTTGAGGAGAACAAACCAAAATGAAATGGATAACACCTGGCCAAAGCCGTTCCTTTTCGAAGTGAAGCGTGTGTTCTGCGGAGGTCACCACACCCTGATGAAGGACGGCAGGTTGAGAAACCCGAGTGAGTTCAGCTTTGTTTCCAAAATAATGCTCTTTCTCTTTAATCAGAGAGATGTAAAACAGGTTGAGCTCTGCAAACTCAGCCTGGAAACATTCTCATTACGTACAACACAGAGATGAATCACCACCACGGCAGATCTTAGTTCTTGTACGAAGTACTTTGCAAGACTGGAGCTAGAACTGCAGGGTTTGTGTTTCTTTCCCTTGGTGGTATGAAGGATAACAGAGCAAAATACTAGTCTGTTACATTTGCTTTCCCCTCCCCTCCCTGTTTCTTTTGAATTAAAACGATCCTTCCTAAAATTGCTGCACAATTCACTGCAGTGCCTGATGTGCTAAAACAATCAGTCAGCAAGAACCTGTAGATAATTGTTGGCGTCTGCGAGCGGGCAATAAACATTTCTTTCTCTTTCCAGTGCTAGTTGTGTATTTAGCTTCAAGCCAGGAGTAAAACTGGGAGAAGTATGTTCTTATTGATTAGACCAGGAGGTGTACTTCTGAACTCGCTGGGGCTGCTTTCAGAAAATGTCACCCAAAAAGAGAGACTCAGTAGTTCATGCGGTTTGGGGTTACCAGATCAAGAAAAACATGAAAACATCATTGTGAATCTTTTCCCATGTTTTGAACTACGTACACCAGAAACACAGACATTTGTATTTGCCATGGGGGAAGTAGAGTTCCCATGCGATTTTCAAGGCACGACATCTCTTTTTTGAAGGCACCGTTTGGAGCACAAAACACAGCAGGCTGTCTAGACCTCATGGTTCAAAGTTTAGACTCAACTTATGGCTGAGCAAGGAAGTTTAGTTCCTTACATGTGAAGCACAGACAGCATTTACACTTTTACAAACTGGGAAACGCATGAGGGAGTAAAATCAGGACGGCAGGAAACTGGAGACACACTTAGTCCTGGGTCCCTTACGAAGTCCATCAGCTTCCCTATGGCTGCTGCCAGCAATGGGGTGTTCAGAACGTGCTTAGATGGTGCAATACAAGAGGTGGTCATGCTACCTCTAAACTGAATTAGCTTTAATAACAGAGTAGTAAAGCTGCATTATTATTGTATACTGTCTCAGACAATTATCTTGCTCATAAGCTCCAGTGAGCTCTGTACTGATGTAGCTGGGCTCTTTCTGGTCTCTAAATTAGCTCAGGGGTCTTCTCACAGAGCAGGGAGTTTTAGCAGGCAGGCACTTATTTTCATTTTCCAATAGTCACATATTACTGCATTCACTGTCAGTAGTCTGGACTCTCACAAATCGTTGCTGATTGACGTACAACACACTGTAAATAGAGGCACTGTCCTTGCCCTGCTTGAGATAGGCATGAAACGTGGGTTCCTTTTGCCTGCTTGGGGTAGCGAGGTCTTGTTTTAAGATAAAATTGCTCAGCAAATTGCCAGCTAGAAGGAGTTTTCAAGAGCGGACAGTGTGTAGCTTCCTACAAACCCTTTCACAGGGTTCATTTACATCCTTTCAGCTGACAGAGGAGCTGAAAAAGGGAGAAATAGGGCTGGCACAAAAGTGTTACAGGATCCTGCTGGCGTTCAAGGACATTCTTGCACAAACACACATTTCTTTTCTAACAAAAACATTCTAACTCTTAAACAGCCAAGACATCACTGCCATTTTGGGGGGCTGAGAAAACAGATCTCAGAAATTGCTGAATATTTGCACAGACTCAGCTTGATGTCCCGTAACCTGCTGTTCCCTCTGTTTCTATTTTTGATTTGATGACAAGTGGACTAGATCCTTTCAGGTTTCAACTGCCCTCTCTCTAGAGCAAAGTCTACTTTAAGCTGGTGTTGCACCTGTGATGATTCTTGGACCTGGAGTTCACATTTTTAAGAAAAAGCTTTGCAGTTAGAATTTACTTATGCTTTCGCTTTACATTAAAGCAACACACCCCCCTCTATATGCACAACGCACCCCCCCCCCCCCCCCCAACATTAGACGATAAGAAAATATTTCGGACCAGATTAGCCATCATTTGTCAATGTTTTCTGACCAATTTAGTCCTTCTAATTCTGGCAGTTTTAAGGAATTGTAAGTCTTGGTTTTATTGATAAAGACACTAAGCTACTCTAGTGCTCCCGGCTCGCACAAGGAAAAATAAACATCTCAGATATAGAAACAGTTGCAATTATTCCTAAACAAATCTCTTGCTACCTTTTACCCTAGAAAGGTAAGGCGTTTGCATGCTATGGACTTAGATTACTGATAACTGCTACTTTTTGTAAAGGACAGATGAAGTCAGGGTATTGTTCCTCAAAAAAACCCCCGAGTGACTCTTCCATGCAATCCCATTGCCTTACTTGCGTATGGTTTTCTTCCAACATTGAGTTAAAGTTTTTTTCTCTTTTGTAGAGTGAGAGCCACAAAATTGGCAGTTAGGTGATTAAGCAATGCCTCCTAAAGATGTAAGCATCCTGCAACGAGCATGTTTCTTCTTGCCATATAGCCAGTGCCCGGCGGGCTGGGCGTGCGCTCAATCTGCCTTCATACAGTCACAGCATTTGTAACCCTACTTCAGGAAAAACACCTGGGCCAGCCCGGCAGAGGAGGGAGAGGGTGGCACGGGCAAGGTGCCACTGCACAGGGCTGTGACCACCAGGCACTGCCCCCTGAGCCCCCAGCCCGGGTGATGCTCCCACCCCAGGGGATGGTGCTTTGCCATCAGCTGCTCTTGGGAAGCAAGGCTGAGCTTTGGCAGAGCATTTGCTGCCCACAGCAGTGGTGGTGGCAGCAAGTGAGATGAAAGTCCCAGGTCTCATGGTGTTTTAGGGCTTCCTAGGTGGGCAGCTATGCGCTGAGTTTGCTCTGGGAAAGGACAGCCCTTTGCCCCGGAGCTTTGCACCCAACCACAACCAGTTGTGCACCTAACAAAACCCACCACCTCTAGATGCCCTTGTCACTTCACCCTTCTGCCAGAAGTTATAACTCTTGGATCCAGGAGCAATGAGGTCACCACTGCTAAGTAACTTCTCTTATGGCCAGGTGTCCCTTTTTGTGCTATTTTAGCGGGCTGGTAGAGAGGCCGGGAGCAGGAGCATCCTCAGCAGGGTGAATTGTGCTGTGGCAGTATGGGAAATTCCTCTTCCAGGCTGTTCCCTTTGATACCCCTGCCTGAGGTGCTGCCTTCCCACATTGCACACCCTGCCTCCGAGCCTCCTGTAAACTCCCTGAGAGAAGAGTTTGAGCTAAAATACTGGGCTAGAAAAAGAGATGTAGGCACAACTTTGCCATCCCTTTCAGTCTTCTCAGGCAGCTGCCTGTTTACAGGGAAAGGAATACAGTTGAAAAGCCCTATGAGCAGACAGAAACTCTTTGGCATAAGGAAGAAAAAAGACATGACATAAAACTGAAAATACAGTGCAATAGAGCAGGGATCATAAAGCAGGGTGGGCGGTGGGGATGGTGAAAATCAAACAAAAAGGGAATGGTGGGCTGATGGGAAGAAAAGTAGAACTGGAAAATCCTGATCTGTTTTTCTAGTCTAATAGCAAAGGGGGGGGGGGATGCCTGGGGGAAGAGGGGTTGAGCACCAAGATGTCCCTCACCAGGGACAGGAAAGGTGGCTTTCGTGCCTCCCCGACATTGGCCAGGGGGAAAGTAGGACACATTGCATTTTATTACTTGCATGCTTGAAGCAAACAAATTGGCAGGTTACTGGGTATCAAAAATCTTGACTTACTCAGTTCCAGAGGGAACTTTTACTGAACAGCATGCACTGCATTTAAGTTGAGTTGTAATTATTGTCAGGGTTGTTTGGACTGTGATAATTTTTCAGCACTGCTGCTCTAGACATTTGGTTAGAAGCTTACACCTTACAAACGCATAGTGTAGGGGAGGGGGCAAAGTCTGTAGATACCCAGCAGATTTTAACTGCCTACTCCATCTACATACACAATTTTAAAAGTGTCAAACTGGGCTTTTCACATTCAGAAGAGGAGACACTTTGATCTCTTTGAGCAGTAGTTACCCCTTGAGACTTAAAATATTGCATAAATAATTTTTTTCCCAGTTGTTATGCCAACACAATATGCTTTGCTCTGACATGTTATAACATAAAGTTACACAATGTGAAAATAGAAGTATTAATATCCTGAACAAGCTTTTCAAAATGAAACAGTTCTGACTTTGGATCAAAAGCAGAGGTCAAATTTCCCTCCAAACCAGATTCCAAATCTTTAGCTCCGTTTAGGACACAAGGCTAACCAAAGGCTGAGAAGACAGAAACCACTGAATTTTGACATTTATGGGCTATTGCCATACCTTTAAATTTGCATACCGCTGTGGTAGTGCTTGTATAAACACTTTTTTTTAAATGAAGAATTTAATTAGTTTCAGGGACACTCTAATTCTCCTTGTCCATGCAAAATGCCACTGGTTTTATGGCATCTGCTGAGGTAATGACATTTGTTATTGAAGGAGAGTGTCCATTCTTGCATCTTTACAGTGATTTTAATCTCAATTCTTAACTGTTCAATCTGAAGAGGAAGCTCGCACACAAGCCCCATTGCATTCTCTATGAGAGGTCAAAGCTGGCATTTTTAAGCATTCCACACTTAGTGAATGATTTCTTGTGGAACTACAATGTTCACCTATGAGAGGAGCGAAAGCTCCCGTGCTTTCCTTCTTGGGAGCTGACCTTCTTTTCACATTTGTTTAAAATAAGCCTTTCCTTGTAAACCAGAAAAAAACACTGCAAGGGATTTTTTTTCTTCCTTTCTAATGTATCTTCCTTCTGATTTCAGCTTGGGGAAGAGCTGCTGCTGCCACGTACCTGGTCGGCTTTCTACTTCTGGTCATCTGCTTTGCTCTGGCCATCATAGCATTTGCCATTGACACACTTCGGTTCAACTTCATACGCGGGATTGGAGGCTTGCTTTTTGTCGCTGGTAAGGCAGTATGTGAAGTCAAGTTTCGCTTGTGCAGGTTTATCCATACTAGGACTGGTATTTCCCTCAGCTGATTCCACACCTGAGTCTTTGTGTGCATTTGAGCTCTCTATGAAAAATAATATAAAGTCTGTCATGGCAGTGGACTGGTTTTCAAATCCTCCAAAACATAAGTGGGTTTAGCTACAGGTATTATGGAGGCAGGCAACGTGATGGGTGTTAGCTTAAACATTTTTTTTATTTTCCCCTGTTTCTTCAGCTGTGTTCTCCATCATGGGCCTGGTCATTTATCCAGTAAAGTTCTCGACTGAAATCGAAATGACGGGAATCAATATGTTCAGCTGGGCCTATGGCTTTGGCTGGACCACCGCCATTATGGAAATATGCTTGGGATTCTTCTTCTGCTGCCTTCCTAACTATGAAGATCAGATCTTGGGTAATGTGAAGCCCACATATTTTTACTCTTCCCCATAAGCACCAGGAAAAATGAGTTCATATTCCAGAGATACCTGACAGACCAGCTACATTTTCCAGAATATCGTCATCGGATGTTTGTAGAAAAGGCTGGAAACTTTTCAAGTGCATGTCGAAAAACAGTACTAGCATTCTGCAATAAAGTTATCTAAAGTTATCAATTGGTTAGATAAAATCTAAACATTAAAAAACCTTGTGTTCCCTCATTCATTCCCGCGAGTGGGGTGTATGTGGATTCCATTGCATCTTAAATGCGTTCATATTTCCAATTAAATTCAGAAAAGCTTTTTAAACTGCCAATAAACAACACAGCATATATCATCTTCCTGAAGGAAAGCAGCTCACAAAATTATCGTTTTGTATGTATCACCTTTAACCTGAAGATTTTGCACATTTTTCAAGAAGCCAAATACCTTTATCCACTGACTGCCAAAGTAGTAAATTAGTCAGCCAGCACTTCATAGCTTTGCTTCCATTTTTCATTCATTCATTCATTCATTCATTCATTCATTCACTTAAACCATAGGGACAGGGTAAGAGAAAGATGAGAGAAAGCTCCCTACCAAAGCCAACATCTTGACTTTTACCCATCCATGTGGAATGTAAATATTTATTTCTAAATATTTGTAAGAGTAAGCAAGGACCATCAGTAAACCCTAAAACTCCTGCTGTACCATTGCTGGGGCCAGCACAGAGTGGGTAGAGGCAGAGGGGATTTCAAGCCATCCCTGCAACCTACAGACCTGGTTTGAAGAGGCTCCTGGTGTGGTTTTCTTCATGGGCATCTCCCTCTTTTATCCGCTGTATCAAAATCTATGGCTTTAAAAAGCTCTGTTATACTGGCCCAGCTATTTTACCCAGCGTAAAAGGGTCAGGAAGGACTTCAGCAGAGGTGTGATGCCCCTACACATCAGGAGCTAAGCTGGAGCAGTGTGTGTAGATGTCAAACATTTGTTAAAAGGCCCCTTTTTCATCGGTTTGCTTTTCATAAGTATTTTAAAAGTGGAAAGTGTATACTGTCATACATAACTGTAAAATGCGTAAATATCCCTTATCATCTCATACTAAGGCTCTCAGAGAGAAAATAACATCATAAAGCACCTTTCAGTATCTTATACTGCACAGTGCTGCAACCCTCAATATATTGCAAGCAATGAAGTATACTCAAGACTCTGCTGGTTTCTACCTTGTTAATCCTAACTTTACAATGTCCTATTTCTTCTCTTAAATGAAGAAATTGATCATTTTGCTATGTGGAAAAAGTTTCATCAAAATCCTCAGCTACAGAGGATTATTAGCTTGTAACATATCTGCAATTTTGTAAGTATGTGCACTTCATGAAAAGTGCCCTACCAAATGTTCTTTACTGCAAAGAATGAGAGGCAGAAAAAATTTTTGCTAAAACCTCTGGGTAGCTAAAATTAATAAAGGCACAGGACTTAACCTGTTTTTTTGGAGCAGTTAACTCCATTCACTTCTATGGAGCGTCTTCTAACTTTCATCAATAAACATGAGAGATGTACCTGACCAGTGAGGAGAGTATATGTAACAGGGAATTGTTGGACAAGAACTTGCAAACACATTAAGAAGATGTTTCCTAGTTGGAAGGAAATTAAAATGAAATAGAGTTGAGAAAGCAGTTTGTATAAAATGGCTTGCAATTCTTTGTGTAATATTATCTGTTCAGGAAAAAAATTATCATCAATCTTTTCATTATGCTTATTATACCTAATAAATGATGGTATCTATGTATTGTTTCAAAAATGAGTCTTAGCTTTTGTTCTCTACTAAGAGCAGGGAAGTGTGGAAGCCCCCAAAGCCTCCTCTTCTCAGGCACCACCTTGGAGCACCTGGATTTTGAGAGGGAAGAGTAACTTGCAAACCTAGCATGGCAACAGCTTGTATTGTCCTTCAGTCCTGTGCTGGCTGTCTCTGGAGGCCTTGTTTGCAAGCACATGGGAATAGTGGACTCGCTCTGTTCGCTTATGGGCTACGTGGCATCAAGTCACGATACGGACGATTCTGTGCTACAGCGTGCTACAGCGCGTTTTGGCATGGAGGGCAACGTGCTCGTGCTCACTGAATAGGAAGCCGGTGTGGTCCCACTCGATGTTTTTGCTCCAATGGATGTAGCAATCCCCTGAGGAAGCAAAAGGGAACTTGAGCAACCACTGATTGTATTTACAGCTTCTTTAACATTAGCTGGACACTGACCCAGCATCTGGAGGTGGGGAAAGGTGCGCAAAGCAAGGTTTAGGAGTGTGACTCCAACCTTGATGAGAGAGCAGAGCGTAATTAAAAAGCAAAGAAAATCTCCAGCCATCATCCCCCTTCCTCCCTCCTCTCCCTCGCTGCTCTCAGCAGCTTCACCACCTCCTCTCTCTCCTTCTCCTCCTCTTCCTCCTCTTCCTCCCTAAGGGTAACAGCGGAGCGTCAGGGCTGGTGATTGTGGCTCTGCGGGATGTGGCCCTGGTCCCCATTCCCCATCGCCACTTGTCCCTTCCCATGCGAGAGGAGGAGTGAAGCACCTTTGCTGGCCCCAACACAGCAGCAGGGACCCTAGCCTGGCTCCCTGCCCCAGGCTCCCAAAGGGAAAGGCTTTCTCCAAAAAAAGGAGGGCATCAAGTGGGTATCCAACAAACAGAAGCATCACAGGGGCTAGAGGTCAAGTGCCTGCCTTTAGGGTAGTTTGCTTCCAGTCATGCCAGGCTAGTTCACCACAGATCCCTAGAAAAACACATCCTAAGCCGTGCGGCAGAAAAACAGTGAGAAAAAGCATAAAATTGTTGTACAGACCCCAGTGCTGTTTCCTGCGACTGCTGCGACAGGGGAGTGTGGCAAAAGCACCATGCAAAATGCAATCGGTTCTGACAGAAAAGGCAGCTGAATCCAGAAGCCAAGGATGTGCCTCAACTAGATTACTAACTAACTAGGTTATCGACTAGCTAGGTTATCAACTAAAGTTTTAAAAAGTCTACACCCAGGTCAAGCAGATTATTAACTAACCAAATTGTTCGATTAATTTGAGCTAAGACAGCATCAGAAAGTTTGGATTTTCAAGCAAAGCAGAAATTAGAGGAAAGAAGACATCCCTTTAGTTTTGCACCTCTGTTTGGCAGGGTTCTTGCTCCAAGTCTTGCCTGTAAGAGAAAAGGGCACTTAACCACTAAAGGCAGCACAATAAAAGACTTAAAGTTTCATTGTGCCCAATGGCAATGCTAAAGAGAGATCAGGAAAGAAGAGATGTCAGAACTTTAGGTCTGCTATAACAACAGAAGTAAAGACTTGACTAACAAAGGCATTGCTGCTGTTCCCGTCAAATTAAGAAGTAGGCAAATATCCTCCAACAGGCACATCTTATCTAATTCAAACATACTAGGAAAAGGAAAAATCGTGCTGAAAGCAAGTGGAATGTCAAGCAGCCCTACAGGTACAAACTGAAGTGAAAGAAATAATGAAAAATTTACTGGTAAGTTAATATGTTCAATTTAATTTCTAGTGTTTCTGACAGAGCTTGTATAATGTGGGCATCTTGGTCTTTTCAATCTTCTCTGCAAATATGTCCATATTTCACTATACATTTTCCCGGCACCTGCCATTTGGTCTTAAAATACAGCCTGCTTAATCAATAATTCAAATGCAATCTAGTTTACAACTGTATTAAAGTTGTGCATATTTTGTCATATGAACTAATGCTATGAGTGAAGTTTTGACCCCATTGACATCACTTGCAAGACATTTATTGATTTTCTGGTGGCTGACATTTCATCCTTGAAGCGCAACCTCTTTTTTTTTTCACATGTGCTTGGAATCGATAGTATCTCTGTGGGATGCTCCATTAATTTCAGCAGCTCTGTTTACATCTGCAGGAGGATGCTGGTTATTCCCAGAATAAAGGACACTTCAATGCGTGTAAGATCATTATGACCCAGATTCTGGGTCACAATTAAATCACATTTTGTTGGATACACAACACGGCCACAGTAAAAAGATTCATCTTTCCTTTTGACACATCTCAGTTGTGTAGCTGTTATTACTTCTTATAATTCAATTTCTTGGAGCACTTCCTTGCACATTTCTATATTCAGTGGACTTCTGTGTGCTCTGAAGATGAGTAGATTTAAGAAAAAAATGAAACAATAAAGTTTGTGATAAGGGAGAACAGAATTGGCCTATTTGTACACTGTCGGAAAGTGGGAATCAAACCGTCTTGCTAGAAGGATAGTGAACTCAACGACCAAAGAGTTACTTGAGTCATATCAGAAATTCAAAACTGAGGATTGAAAGACTGCTATATACTTAATAACAGGGAAAGAGACCAAGTCACGTGGATCTTCCTTTATCTTTTTCCTTGCTGTCAAAATATTGCTTTTGTTAGAAATTCTGGCTTCAAGAAAAAATTGTTACTGTGGTGCAGCTGCATAATAATGTCTAGGCCTAAATTTTATCTGCAAAGTTCTTCAGTGCTAAGTGCCAAACTCTAGAAAAGCACCTGGATAACCTCAAAGTTGCAGATGGTTCTGCTGGGGTCATCAGAGCTGTTTACATAGGTGGCTCCTTAAGTGACTTAATACATTCGGGCTCATATGTCCATCTACACCCACTGGTTAGTTCCCCAGATTTCCTGCATGTGAAGTGATGTAGTAAATTTTTTCATTTTTTATGATCAGAGTGAAAACGTGGATGCAGCATAGAATTTTGCATGTGACTGCTGGGTGCGAGGAGAATTTACAGGGACAACTTTCAAAATAGTTTTACTGTTTATGATAACTGTGATGAGAACAGACCAAACTGCTTTCTCTTGGCTAGCTTTTGTGACACTGTTTGCCTAAGCCATCTGTTTTTCTGTAAGAGCAGTTTTGTGAAAACCTACTCTAATGATCATATCATACTGAAAAGAAATTATATTGGGTATCCATGGAGAACCCCTCATAAAGCACTTTAATTAGCCCTTGATTGTTCAAATGCAGTTCAAACAGAGAGAGAGATGTTGCCTTTCGGATTTTTCCACAGAGCAGTATAAACCCAAAAGCAGCAGATCCACTCAACTATTGACTGTAGACCTGGCTTCCATGACCAGCTCCCCATTTCTTACAAAGTAACTGGTGCTCTAGAGCCTTGTCCTTAGCAAACTATCAAACAAAGAAGTAA